AAAAAATAACACCCATAGGATCTGACACTTTAAAGAACGGAATTGAACATCACAGCTGGTGAAGTTGGAGCTACTGTGTGTGATGATGGAATGTGTCATTATTTAAATACAAATAATGGACGTTGTGCTGTGTAATGTTACTCTGGGACTTTATAGTTATTTTTGGACATACAATGCTGACCTTATTCTTCCCTTGTTCAGAGTGTGAAAATGCCACTGTGGCTGACATCGTCTTCCTGGTCAAAGGCTCCTCTAGCATTAGCGGTGAAAACTTTCAAGAGATCCGGAGTTTTCTCCGCAGCATCATCAGGGCTCTCAACATCGGCCCCAACAAAGTTCGGATTGGTTTGGCACAGTACAGTAATAAACCTCATCAGGAGTTTCTGCTGAAGGACCACACAAACAGTAAATCCCTGTTGGCTGCAGTGGAAAAGATTCCCCACCGAGAAGAGGGCAGAGAAACTGACAAAGCAATCGACTTTCTTCTGAAGGAGTACTTCACCAAAGAAGCCGGGAGCCGAGCTAGCCAACGAGTGCCTCAGATTGTTGTGGTTATCTCCGATGGGGAGTCCAAAGATAATGTGTCTTTGCCCGCCCGGCAACTGAGGCAGCAGGGAGTCATTGTGTATGCCATCGGGGTGGGAGAAGTCAACCAGAAGCAGCTCAAGTCCATTGCCAACCGGCCTTCAGAGCGCTTCGTCCTAACCACTGCCAGCTACCAAGGTCTGCAGACACTGACACAGGGGTTGCTGCAAACTCTCTGCATGTCCATGGAGGCTCAGAGGCAAGGTAAGGCATAGGATTGGAAGAATATTATATAGTTGTCTATTTGTTAATTATACAATAAAATAACTGTGTAAGAAAAGCGAGCCAAAGTCTACCATTTGAAATGCAGAAAAACCGAGAGCATCTGGTGTTGCTGGCAAGGTTTTCATCCATCAGGTTGGGATGATACTAGACTTGTTCCTATTTTAACTAGAGATGCACCGATTGCAGTTTTGTTGACCAATTCCATTTTCAGATGTTTTTTTTTTAAGTCTGAACTGCTGAGTCAAGTTTTGGCCAATTCTGATTCGCTTTCTTTCCAGGAACTAACTGACAGCGTACACCAACATTTTTTGCAACTTTTCTTTAATGAAAATTTTTATTGTGATAAAAGTAAAACTCTGTATTCCAGTTTTACATTTTTCATCTTTCTCTCACTTTTATTTTACATAAACCTCCAGGTAAAAATGAAATGTAGTTTTTGTACTTCTCCAAATATAAACAGGTGCAGCAGGTAATACAAACCAAGAATGGCTGTTAGTGCTGAGCACACAGTTCTTTTTGAAGTGTCAAGAGTGATCACGCTGACAACCAGCCATGTCCAATCTCTGCCAGTCGATCTAATCTTAGCAATGGATTGATAATTTCATACTGCCTCTAACCCTTATGGTTTACTTGTAACAGTTAGGCTGCAGATCAGAACAATAGGAAACTATTTGTAGGCCAACTGATGAACATTGGAGAAGAGTGAATGGACAGGTTAAGATGTCAGTTTGCTTAAAAAAGTACTTTGTAAAAGTGCTGTCTGAACATTTTCAGAAGCAAAAGTTTAGTTAGTTTAATGGCCCATTCAGAGGTGTGTAGGTGATACAGGTGCACACTCTCTAAAGGTTCTCATGGTGCTGCACCTTCTGCTATACATGGAAAAAGTAGTGGTGTAAAGTCTGAAAGCTTGAGAGCATATTGTGTGCACAGATTGGCTTTTCTTTGTTATTTTATATCCTTTTACAGATGCCGCTTGGCCGACTAAACCACAGTTGCAGTAATGTTTATTAATGCGCACAGTCAATACATCAAATAAACCAGTATTTACAATACAGTACAACATTTTCACCAGTCTCCTCTGACTTGGAAAGTCAGTTAAGCTGAATTCTTTGGCCTTTCCTCAGCTGTGTCAAGTAGCCAAGGCTCTGAGAGAACGCTCTTTGTTTGTAGCACTTGAAGCCTGACAATCAGACTGCACTAATGCCATAAAATGTAATTAATATTTTGGTTTTGTCTTTCAGCTATAGCGGACAGATTCGCAGATATTTTCTTCCTGGTGGACAGTGGCTTAACTCCAGAAGCGTTCTCCAAATTTAAGCAACAACTTGTCACTTTGACCAGTCAGCTTAATGTTGGAGCGTCCACCTACCGTGTTGGTTTGGCTCAGTATGGTCAAGATACCAAGGTTGAATTTCATCTCAATACATTTCAAACGAAACGGGAAATCCTGAGCACTGTCCGGAGTTTCCTGCTGTCCCCACAACCCGACCAACCACGGAAACTGGGCAGCGCTCTGCAATATGCCAGCGACAACTTTTTCACTAAGGAGGCAGGAGGCCGTGCAGAACAAGGCTCCCCACAGTTCCTGGTTGTTGTGAGTGGAAAAGACTCAGATGATCGGGTGTCAAGGGAGGAGCTTAAGCTCAAGTCAGCAGGGATAACTGTTGTCAGGATGTTCGAAGATGAATCAGTGGAGGAAATATCTAAATTTCGTGAAGCAGTGGAGGGAATACTCGACTTTTCTTTTACTGGGTATGCATTTGATTTTCCCAAAGTAACTCCATTAAACCAATGGTTCCCAGCCTTTTTCTCTCTCTGGGTTAGCTTGTGTGAATGCAGCCGAAAAAGACCTGCTTCTGTCTGTTCTGTTCCTCACCTTGTGTGTGCGCCTCTACCCTCAAAACAGATGCACAGACCTAGACTTGGATGCAGGTAGTAGGCTGCTGTAGCTAATTCCGGATCTACTGTACATTTAAATACATCACACAAAATCAGATAGGAGGCTATTTGTTTTGTTTTCAAATTGGCCACAAAGTACATGGACTGTCGAACATGATAACATTCACAGTTCTAGTACCAGTGTTGTATCAATATGTGGTCCCCCTGTTTTTACTGTAGCGCCTCCTCTCAGTGGTTAGGAAAAGGTTTGGGTTTGGGTTAAGTCATGAGAGGGAACACATCCATAGAGATTTCCCACCCATGTGTCCCCACATGCACAGCCAGGAATTCATGTCTGAAAGAGGTGTAAGTAGTTTACTTCTTTTGAGTGAGGACCAAAAAATTTGTTTTATTGTTTTATATGCAGAATGTTGTTTAACCAGTAAGTGTGCTTATTATAATTTTTATTTAACATGTGCATATCTAATTTTGACAAATGCCACATCCTCCCTCATGCACCTCTAGTAAACATTTGAGGCTCCCTAGTGTGGCTGCACCCCCCCATTTGGAACTCACGGTCTTAAAGGATTTCTTAATAACTGAGGAAAAGGAGACCATTCCTGAAGGTGAGAAGGTTTTTATTGATACTATGAACATGAGCTCATTTTCTTCATCAGTTACAATAGAGTCAAATAAATAATAAAAATAACCTATTGGAAATGTTTCTTTAAAAAAAAAAGGTATTCACTGGAATGGGCTTTGGAAAATGGCATTTTTCGATATTTTTATTAATAGTCAAACAATGAGCATTTGAAAAAAATTACACCACGAGAATGTTACACTTGGTAAAAGGCTCATGGTCTTTTACTCAGATTTGGTATCTATTTCTCATTGACAGACTAGCACATTTGGTTGTTGACCATTTGAGGGTTGTATCTTTAAGTTTGGCCTGTGATGTAGTGATTATCACCATAGACCATGACAGCAAATTGCAAGCAATACCTAGAATCCCTCCATTTTACTTTCAAACACATCCCATCACACTTTGAGGGGCCCATGGAACATTCACTCCTGTCAGTCTGGGAAACTAATACAGAAGCTAACGTAATGTTAGTTCAGCAGCCAAAGTGAAGGCTGAGCACTGCCAACATGACCATTAGCTGATAGCCAGTAACTGTCAGACATGAGGTACAATAGCAGCAGTTAAAATTGGTCAGACTGTAAGCTTGGCCTCAGCGAGTCTCGTCTGACATGATGTGCTTATTTCAACACCATTGTCTGCCCTGACACTTTAGGTACTACACACCCATAGTTCAAAGCAAATATTTGTGTCAGTGAGTGGTTTTTCACAAGTGTAAGTCGTCGCTGGTCATATCCACAAGGTTCTCAGGCCAAAAACAGACCATTCTTTTGCATTTCATATTAATGTGTTTGTTGCACATAGAAAATTGAACATCTGGCATTTCTAGGAACTTGCTACTGACTGGTAGTTGTATTTTTTGCCTTGTCATTTTTCTGTTATCAACAGGCAGCAGAGAAGAATAATAGCAGTAAATGACATTTTATTGAATGCTGTTGAACCAAGTATTATATGTAAAGTATACTAAAAGCATAACCTATGAAACAGTTTAATGCTAGTTTTAGTCTAGCTTCCTTGACAACTGCAAATCACAAAAATTGTATTTACTGTTTGGTCTACTAGACACTCATAGGCCTGTCTGTTAGCAAGAAAAAGCTCACAAGGCCAAACAAACAAAAATTTTAGAACTGCATTACATCCTCAAATATATTTGAATGGGTAAGTAGCAGATGGCTAATGGTAACTACACTCTTTTCACAGAATGCAAATGGGCTAATGTGGCAGATATTGTGTTCATCGTTGACCAGTCGGGAAGCATCGGAGATGACAACTTCCAGTTAGTGCGTTCTTTCCTGAAATCAGTGGTGAGCAGCTTGAATGTCAGCACAACTAGAGTCCGTATAGGCATTGTGACATACAACGAAGCGCCCACAGCACAAGTCTTCCTCGACACGTTTGACGACAAAGCTGATATCCTGCAGTTCATCAACATCATACCTTACAGTGGAGGTGGTACGAAAACTGGAGCTGCCCTAAACTTCACTCGGGAACATATCTTCAGTGAGGAAAGGGGAAGCCGGAAAGGCATCCAGAAGGTGGCAGTGTTGGTGACAGATGGTAAATCCCAGGATGATGTGAACGAAGCGGCACAGTGTAGGAATCAAAGATGCCAACAAAAATGAACTGTTAAAGATAGCATCTCACCCCTCCACCAGCCACACTTTTACTGTGGACAGTTTCACCAAGCTGAAACCGCTGAAGCAGAACCTGCAGAAGACTGTGTGCAGTAACATCCGTTATGAAGCAATCACAGTCCAATCAAGCAAAACAGACATCAGACAAGGTTTGGACCGCTGTTTTTAATGCTTATTCATTGTTTAGTTACATAAATAACCTAAGTTTAAAGATTTTATTAATGTTTATGGTGTAACACAGTCATTTAATGTCCCTGGTCAAAACAGCATCATGCCCACCTCAGCCAGGTTTGTCTTAATTTTGGGGATGTGGACTTGTACTTGTTGCTTATTGAGTAGCTGTTTTATAAATTTAGCCTGGACTCAAATGCTTTGCAGTGTTTGAATGTTCAACTTAGCCTTTCTTTCTTTGACTATGTGAAAAGGACTAACTCTTGCAGTTGCTTTTTCTTTCCAGCATGTGTACAGAAGGATGAAGCAGACATCTTCTTCCTCATGGACGACTCAGGAAGCATTACAAACCCAGACTTTTATGACATGAAGAAGTTCATCATAGAGTTTGTTAGCAACTTCCGTATTGGGCCACAATATGTCCGCACTGGGCTTGTCAAATACTCGGATACACCAACTTTGGTATTTGATGTGACAGCCTATTCAGACAAAAGTACAGTGCAGAAAGCGGTGGAGAATATTATGCATGCTGGAGGTGGGACAATGACAGGAGCGGCTTTGTCATCCATGGAACAACACCTTAAGAGGGCAAAGTCAACTCGGGGTTACGTAGTCCCAGAGTACCTGATAGTCATCACTGATGGAGAATCCACTGATCCGGTCAAAGCTCCTGCAAAAAAATTAAGAGACCTGGGTGTTATCATTTATGCCATCGGAGTGAAAGATTCAAATCAGACTCAGCTGCTAGAGATTGCCGGTGACCTCAAGAGGACTTACTTTGTCAGGAATTTTGATGCCCTGAGGTCCATCAACAGTACCATCATCACAGACATCTGTTCTCCAGACGGTAAGGAAAACTGGAGTATTTAGCATAATAACATTTTAAAAATTCCTCTTGGTGGCCTGCCGGAAATGGTTACCTTTGGGGAGAAAATATCTGCCACTATGCAAGGTACTGAAGAATCTATACGAGTTGGGGGCAAATTCATGTCCATTGGTTTTGAATGTGTCTTTATTACTTTTGAAGCAGCCTGAAAGTATCACTTTATCTGTTCATCAGCTCTCTAATTGAAAACATTCTCAATCACGCTTTTACCCTCATGTAGGGGGGTGACTTATCACCTTTAATATACAGGAACACAGGTAAGAGGAACACCACACTAAATGTTCTGTGTTCTGTGTCCACAGCTTGCACAGACGTACCACATGATCTCATTTTCTTAACTGACAGCTCTGAGACCATCTCAGACGAAGACTACCAAAAAATGAAAGACTTCATGAAATCTTTTATAAGCAGGTCCATGGTAGGGCAGGATGATGTGCACATTGGTGTCATGCAGTTTAGCAGCAAAACTAAACTGGAGTTTCACCTAAACAACTATCACAGCAAACAAGAAATGCTTGATACTGTTGAAAAAATGCAGCAGATGAAAGAAGGCACTCGCACAGGAAAAGCCATCAGAGAGGTGTCGAAGTACTTTGATGTAGCCAATGGAGGTCGCCATAACCTGAGGCAGACACTGGTGGTGATAACAGATGGCAAGGCCCAGGATGATGTCAAAGTCCCCGCTGAGACTCTGAGGGCCAAGGGAGTGGTGATCTATGCCATTGGAGTGGCGCAAGCCGAACTCAGCCAGCTGGTAGAGATCACTGGCTCATTAGAACAGGTTTTTTATAAGAGCGGCTTTGATGAGATAAAGGAACTGTACAGCCATCTGGGCTTGAAGCTCTGTGAACAAGGTAAGAGCAAGTTCATACCTTTTTCTGTCTAATGGGGCTTTCAGATAGAAAAAAGGCTCACACTCCACTAGCCACTGGCATCATCTCATGGCCCAGACCTGTGCTGTGCTGGCCGCAGGGCTTGGCAAGATAGGTGGAGTTTTCATGTTGCCCTGGCTCGCTGGAAGACTCCCAGTCAACAATCAAGATGTAACATTGTGTGTCACTAGCTAACTTTGGCTACCTTTTACACTCGCTCACTGTCACCAAGTACTTGCTTGAGGGGGATTTGTTGTGTTTTTCTCTATAATAATAATAAGGTCTAGATCTTACTATGTAAAGTGCTTGTAAGATGATTATTGTTGTGATTTGGTGCAATTTAAATAAAACTGAATTGTATTTAATTGAACTCATCCTTTACACAAGTGGAGAAAACCTGACAAGTTTCTGTATGAAAACTATACAGAGCTCTGTATCTTACATCATTACCTAAATTAAGAAACTTTAATAGGTTTTATCTACTGAGGGGGAACATGTAACAGAGCTACTGTATGTTTACACATATTCCCTACCTACAACAAATTCCTTGACACTGGACATGCATTTGAATATAAATCTGTTTCCTTGTCTTTCCTCTATACTAACTTAAATTGGGTTGTAAAACTCTGGGAATTCAGATGCACATTAGGTGTTCCTCAGCTAAGACATTTTGCTCAGTGCAGTGGTGAACCCTTATGTTGTGGCACAAGCCCCCTTAGTGGGGGATGACCAAGTTTGAGCTCTATCCCAGCTCTACTGTCAACAACTCCAGCTGACTTCATCATGAATTGGTGACTAGCTTTTCATTTAACAAGATCCAACCTATAAATAAGGCATCTTAGTTTTTGTAATGTTTTTACAGCAATCAAGGTATTTCTTAAAATATTTTGGAGCTTTGGAATTACTGATTATTTTTTCATTATCATGAGAACATGATGAAAACTAATCACCTTTTTTTTCCAACCAGATTGTAAGAAGACTGAAAGAGCTGACATTATTTTCCTGGTAGATGGCTCTACAAGCATAAATGAAACAGAGTTCCAAAGCATGCAGAAGTTTATGATGTCAGTAGTGAACAAATCCATGGTTGGCAAGAACCTGACTAATTTTGGGGTCATTCTTTACTCCAATGAACCCAAGTCTGTTTTTTCTCTAAATGCTTATGACTCCAAGCAAAAGGTTCTTCAAGCAATTAAAAATGCCACGAAACCAAATGGAGACACCTACACAAGCAAGGCCTTGACATACTCATTATGCAACCACAAGGAGACACCTTCACAAGCAAGGCCTTGACATACTCATTACAGTTCTTTAGTGCTGAACACGGTGGCCGAAAAGCATTCAAGGTGCCTCAGATACTCATGGTGATCACAGATGGGGATGCCACTGACTATCGTGACCTGAAGCCATCATCTGATGCACTGCGAGCAAAAGGGGTTACTGTTTTCAGTATTGGAGTGAAAGATGCAGTCAGAGAACAGCTGAACACCATGGCTGGTGGTGACACATCCAAAGTTTTTTATGTGGATGATTTTAAGGCCTTAGAAACTCTGTACAAGAATATTTCTTCTGTCCTCTGCAATTCCACTAAGCCAGGTAAGCGCTAGAATGTGGTGTGGCCAAACAAATTAAATTGCTCAACGGTGATAATTGTTTAGTAGTGTGGACTAATACCTTGCTCTTGCTTTTGTTTGGCAGTTTGTGAGAACGAGAAGGCAGACCTGGTTTTTCTACTTGATCAGTCAAGCAGCATCGACCCAGATGAACACACCATCATGAAAGACTTCATAGCAGAACTAGCAAAAAGCTTTGAAATCGATGAACAACTTGTGCATATTGGGCTTGCACAGTTCAGTGATGAACCTCGGCATGAGTTTTACCTCAACCAATACTCCGAGAAGGAGGGTTTGATGGAACGCATCAAAAAACTAGAATACAAAGGTGGAAACACCAACATTGGAAAGGCAATCCTCACCATGAGTTTTACCTCAGCCAATACTCCAAGAAGGAGGGTGTGATGGAACACATCAAAAAACTAGAATACCAAGGTGGAAACACCAACATTGGAAAGGCCTTGGATTTCATTAAGGATTACTTCCAGCCATCTCGGGGCGGCCGTAGTTGGGTCCCCAAAAAATTGGTGGTGCTCACAGATGGTAATTCTCATGATGATGTGGAGGATGCAGCTGACCATATTAGGGATCTTGGAGTCGAGGTCTTTGCTATTGGTGTCGGAGACATCCATAATCTGGTGCTCTTGCAGATCACTGGCACCCCAGAGAAGCTGTTCACTGTGCAGAACTTTAAAGGCTTGGCAACTATCAAGGAAAAGGTGGTTAACGCCTTCTGTCCTCCCCCCTCACAACCCCCTGGTGAGTTGAAAAGTGTGACTTGGCTCTCTGTCTTTCTTTTTTTCCCACAATATTCATTTGTGTCTATGACTGCTAAAGGTGAAAACTTGTTTTCCATTTCTGTAGGCTGCACCATTGATATTGCCATTGGATTTGATATTTCTAAAATAACTGGAGTTCCTGGTGAGAATCTCAAGAAGGTTCTGCCAGAGATTGTCCATTACATTTCTTCAGTACAAGGCCTTTGCTGCGTTGGCCCTGCACCTATTGAGACCAAAATTGCCTTCCAAGTGGTAGATGACAAAGGGCTCTCTTTGTATGACACAAACTTTGAAGGCTACAACGAAGACGTGTTGAAAAAAGTCATTAACCATTCGCTGTCACAACCTACCTACTTCAACACTGCTCTGCTGAACTCCTTCAAAGACAGGTTCAAAACTAAATCCAATGCTGGTGTGAAGGTGAGAATGACATCTTATTAAACGAAACCTTATTAGTTGATGTGATAATATCTTAAGGTGGTGAATTCTTCCTCACAGTGAATGTTTGCTAGTGTTTGCCATATTTACCATCATGTTAGCATGCTAAGAATGTGCTAATCAGCAGTACATGTAAATTAACAGCTGAGGCTGATGGGAATTGATTAGTGGGTCTTCTATTGTACACATAAAGAATGGATAGTGATATTCTGACCTGATGATGGTGCTAGAGGAGAAACCAGAAGATCAGCTTTTTTCTAATTTATTCTGAGGGGAACTTTAATGTCTGAACCAAATTTCATTACCATCATAAATGTTAGCACATTTTACACAAAACCACAAATGTGATGCTACAGCAAAAGCCAAAGGATCATCAGAGTCCTTAGGATTCATCCATGGGACTGTGGATGTCTGTACAAAATTTTATCCCATCAAATTGTTCTCATAATACATCAGTCTGTTCCAAAGTGATGGACCAACTGAAAACATGCAATCACTATGCAACATGTGGTCAGGTGATTAAAGCAGCCACACAGCAGCTTTCTCTGACAGGATTCTGTGACAGATGAGTTTTGAGAAAAGCATAGTTAGTCTTGTCAAGTTTTGTCCATCTTCTGTTGGAATAATTTATTCTCTTACCCTCTGGGTGGAGATATTGGTTCCCCAGGGTAAAATTCAACAGTCAAAATTCAAAATTCAACATTGTGTTTTGTTCCTAGTGCAATTGATGCACTTAGTACTGTAAGTCTTGACCATATTGCTCAGCAGCACTTTTATTATGTTGTTGCTATTATGCTCAGCTTGCATTAAGTCCTGTCTGCACTGCTCAGCAGCACTTCATTATACTGTATACACTATATTGGATACTTAAAACAAACATTTCATTAACATTTTATTCATGGTTGTTTTCACAGTTATTGCTGTGATCAGTGTCCCTTGTCCTCTCATATGCTGTGCTCTTGGTTTTTTGTCCACTATTTTACACTAGATTTTCCCTCAAGGGACAATAAAGATCTGACCTGAACTGAAATGTTTCCTTAGTTACATACACGAGGACAAAAACCATCTCCCCACTGTGAATCACTTTAATAACTGGAGTTGTTTTCAGATGTGTCAAAATAAAGTGGTTCTTGTCAGGGACTATGAAATTAAAAACATTTTAATCTGACTTATCAGGTGGCAGTGATCTTCTCAGACGGCCTTGATGAAGATGTGATGAAACTGGAGGATGAGTCGGAGCTGCTGCGACAGTCTGGTAAAAATTAGGAGTAATTTCTCTACTGGAGTTGTGCTAAAACTTGACTAATAATTTTTCTTTTTCCATGCCGGCTTTTCTTCCTTATGCTGTTCTGTAGTTGTTTCTATCATTCATCTCCTCAGCCTCTTTCTTTGCTCCTTAAATTTTCCCTTACTTCCTTTTCCTGTGTTTCTGGCCTGTCCGCCTCCCCATGTCCCCTTTCACCTTTAAGTACTATCATTATTTACTCAAATGTATCAGTATTTATTTATTTAGTTTTCAAATAATAGCAGAGGGCGAACCTAAGGTAACATCTTCAAATGTCTTGTGTCCAACCAAATGCACTTTTGAGCCAACATAAGAACTTTGCCCAGCACTGTGGCTGCACAAAGCAAACAAACAAATCCTTGGATCACCATTAATCTAAGTCCTGCAAATTTGCTCAGGAAATCTCTAAGAGCAAGCCCTAAACCCTTACATAGAGCCACATAGTTACCCAACAGTTACCTTATTAAAAATCAGATTCTTTATTTTTTTTTTTCTTATGGCACTGTGTTTGTGTAGAAACAATACATGAACTCCTCCAAGGCAGTATACTGTACCTGCAATGTATTATTTTTTTTAATTGTCTGCAGGGGTTAGCGCCCTGTTGACTGTGGCTCTGGAGGGCGCGCACAACCCCGCCCAGCTGCAGATGGTGGAGTTTGGCCGAGGATTCGGCTACAAGATTCCTCTGAGCATCAGCATGTCAAATATTGGCAGCACTATCCTCAAACAGATTGTAAGTCATACATATTACTGCTAAACATGGGTCAAACAGCCTGCTTCAGAGAAACTAGTTCATCTGCCATGTCATCTGACCACTTGTAAAGTCTGCTTCTTCTGTATGGCCATTCAAGGCACATGCATGCAAGACTTCGTTATCTGCAGAGAAATGGAAAACATGTTAGTGATAACATTGTTTATGTAATGTTCTGCAACAATCAGTAAATACTGCCTGTGCTTTATCAGACAAATATGCATGAAACCAGTTCTGAGCAAAGCTGTCCAAACCAAGTCAATGTCCTGTATATTGAATGTAGCAGTCAAATGTAACAAAAGCCTGGGAAAGAACAGGTCAGCATGGTGTTCTTTCTTGTCCAGTTAATGTATGACATCCTCTATTACAACAGTAGTTGCAATAATCGTACTGTACTATATTGTGGTGTAAAACCTGCTGTGGAGAATAGACCTATAGTCTGGAAAACCACAGAGTTTCCTGTCTGTCAGAGTTGAAAGGATCCAGTGCTGGTATGTTGCCAGTGATTATTCTTGGATAAATCCCTTGATTCTCAGAAAATGTTGATATAGCTTGGTTTGTTCTGGAAATAATCTCAGAGTAATGACCTATTTTATTATTACTCTGTCTCTTTGCAGGACTCGGTGTCAGATAGGGAGTGCTGCAACGTCACATGCAAATGTTCTGGACATGAAGGACCTCGTGGTTCTTCGGGGTCACCGGGAATAAAGGTGACAGCAATATCTACAACTTCTAACTTTATACATGATGCTAAGAACATTTTGGAATGTGTCAAAAGCATTAAAGGGTCTGGTCTGGACCAACAGCAAGCAGACAATGGCAGTGATTTTATAAAGTAAGCAACAGGCCAGTGGTTAGTATTTTGAGACAGTATACTTCACTTTAAGCCCATTTTTTGTTTAAGGTTAACCTTAGATAGTGGGTTTACTTTGGTGGGTTTACTTGATGTTTGAACATTAGGAGGTTCTTTTAATGTTTCTGCCACTGTTTGTATTTTAAATAGGGTTCGCCTGGACAGAAGGGTCAGCAGGGGTTCCCTGGAGAGGAGGGAATCATCGTAAGTGGCTCTTCCTTCTGTATATACACAAAATGTTTATTCCAACTGTGGTCAAGATGGGATGAATCTAGGAGGAGAGGTGAAAAGCTGAAACCATACTCTGCAGGAAAACACTAACAGTTAATGTAATCCTTTGTAAAAGTCTGCTATTTAGGTTTAAATCTACATTAGATACAGTTATCCAACAACTTTTTACCAAATTTATTTGACACTTTTATGGATTATTTGTTGTTTGCTGCAGAAATTTGTCCTGAAATCCTGGAAATATTGCTCTACAGATGTATATTTGACATTGACAAGTTCATCAGTGTGAGCTGGACTCACTTGTGTGTTGCACTTGGGTTGTTGCAGGGCGAGCGAGGGCATCCTGGACTAGTTGGACCTCAGGGCATCCACGGCTGTCCTGGAGTCAGGGGACCAAAGGTACAGTACAGTAATACTGAAGATGGCACATGTGCTTGTTTACACATCATCTACTGTGTGATCAAATGACCACACAAATGGAAACTGCAGTGCTGCCGACTGTTATCTCAGATGTTCATGTCAGTGCACCAAGGGGCTCTGACTCCACTGCCAGTTACAGTAGGTTAGGTCAGTGACCTATGTTATTATTTGTGACCTCCCTTTGTATCATGATCCCTGCCTTTGGCTTGTCTCTGCCTTGTATTATTATAAACCCAGTCCCTTGTCTTTGTGTCTTTTCCTGCACTTTCGTCTGTTCCACCCAGCTGTGTCCTCACTCACCTGCTTGCTATCTGTGAAATCACCCACTTTGTATTAAGTCAGCAGTCAGCTCTCATTCACTGTTCAATTGTCAACTGAGAAGCGTCTCCTACAACTATCAGATTTTATATCCTGCTTGCTGGTCTTGTTCTTGACCTGCTGCCTATTTTGGACTCTGACCTTGCTCCCCCCACCGTTTATCTGTTGGATTCACCTGTGCATGGACTTTAAATTTGCTCCTTGAATCTGGATAGTTATCTGTTTTTGTTAGTATTGTTTGATGTAGCAGTGGATAGTGCTATCTCCTCATAGCTAGAAGGTTCCAGGTTCGAGTCCCGGCCGACCCCGGGCCTTTCTGTGTGGAGTCTGCATCTTCTACCTGTGCCTGTGTGGATTCTCTCTGGGTGCTCCTGCTTCCTCCCACAGTCCATAGACAGGCAGCTTAGGTTGACTAGTGACTCTAAATTGCCTGTTGGAATGAGTGTAGGTGTGTGGTTGTTTGTCTACATGTCAGCCCTGTGATAGAATGGCGACCTGTCCAGGGTGGACCCCGCCTCTCGTCCAGTGTCAGCTGGGACTGGCTCCAGCCCCCCTCGCGACCCTGTTCAGGAATAAGTGGTATAGATAATGGATGGATATTTGCCAGTCTCTCTTCCTGCCCTCTTATTAGTACTTCAATTTGTGCACTTCCCTTTTGCCAGTTGTTCTTCTGTGTTCCTGATTTCGTAACCCACATAGTCTTTCTCTGAGCCACTTATATTATCTGCATAACTGTACTTGTATGAGCCAGCCCTCAAACCTGACTTAGCATGTACTTGTGTTCCAGTTTCCCAGTTTAGTTCCCCTCATTTTTATTTACCACTGTCAGTCTTCCTTTGGTGTTCCTGTTACCAGTCAGTAAACATATCTGTATAAGCTATTATCCACACTTTAGTTACTTTTATTAAAGCCAGTTACTCCTGACACCACCACCTTGTTTCTGGTCTGCATCAATCAAAGATTTCTGTATCATGTTTTGAGGTCACAGATACAGACTGTTAATCTGATATCTCCAAAATCACACAGAACCATTTAATCCATTGTCACCTTTTGATACATTATGCACTGCATTCAAAGGCATTTTCATCCTGTGCTTTGATTCACAAGCACAGATCCCCTCGTGTCCAGTTTTCATTGTAGTATCATGTCTACGTTGCTAGACTTTACTAAAGCCACCACCATCAAACACATGTGTAACTAGACTCATTACTTCCACAGAAAGCACAAGCACTTCACAGTGACAGCTTTTCTGCATGGAAATATTTTTTTTACACAGAGTTCTTGTATTGCAACTTGTATTGTGACATGTTTATATTTTTCTGTGACATAAGAATTGTCAGTATAGTAACAGAAAAATGTAGTCCACAGCTGCTTCCTTCGTATGTATTAGCCAAAGAAACAAATGCTTAGTTTCCCTGAGACCCAGCTGAAAAATGTTTATAATGGCAATGACATATAAAATCCTTCTGCATGTTTCTGATGTGTTTAAATCTTGTTGCTTGTATCCGCAGGGCTTTCGAGGCATCACGGGTGACAGGGTGAGTAACTCAGGCCTGCCAAAATGTATAGTTAAAAGTCAAAAGTGTTTACTGGAGAATGTTTGGACAGTTTAGTTTATGCAGTGTCTTAGTAACAGAGGAATGCAGTGAAATGTGATGGGTGATTCTCTTCACATGCTGCAGGGTGAGAACGGAGAAGACGGCCTGGACGGTATCAGTGGAGAACAGGTACTGCATCTGTTCGGAAGGTCATAGGCCTCAAAATGCTCTTCTCATTTGTGAAATAAATACAAACAGTTGTTTAGATTTTTTTTTTTAATTATAGTCATATATTATGACTGCAGTTAATAATTTTATTATTGAAAGTAAATTACTTGTCCGGGATTTTTAAAAGACCATCACACTTTCCTAAGGCCCATGCTGACGTCTTCAAATGTTGTTTTGTTTGAAACAACAGTGCAAAAGACAAAACTAGTCAGTTAAACAGAAAAACAGCTGATCATCACAATGACTAATCAGATAATCAGCTGTTTTGAGCTCTGATCTTAAGGATCATTGAAATGTAGTTTAGTATCTCATTGTATGACCCCGATTCCAAGAATGTTGGCGCACTGTGTAAATTGTAAATGAAATGATTTGGAAATCTTTTAAAACCCATAGTTAATTGAAAAATAGTACAATGACAATATAGCAAATGTTTAAACTATTTTTACTTTTTCAGAAAAAAATCTCATAAATTTGCTGCCAGCAACTTGTTTCAAAAAAGCTGGGATAAGCATGTTTCCCACTTTGTTGCATCGCTGTTTAACAATGGTTTTGTGATTTCATTGCTACTGGCTTATTCTCAGCTTCTCCTCACTGAGCAGTGTTTCTGGACTTGTGTTTGCAGGGAGTCCCAGGACTAGACGGAGCTCGAGGGCCGAGAGGACACCCGGGAAACCCAGTAAAACAACCTAAACACTTTTTTTTAAATATTTGTTCACTGGGTCTTGTCATTTGTCTTTGATTTGAGCAGCAGTTCTTACTGAAGATTGTTTTATAAACCTTTAATTCTGTTCTGATCATTTTTCATGATAAACTTAATCCTGAAAACCTATTAAATAACACTGAATAAAGCTTAATCCATGGTTAAATAAACAATACGTTCATAAATAGTTTTACGGACAACTGGCATTATGCTTACCTAGTAAATTGTATAGTTAATAAGAATAATGCACATTATTTACAGCACATGCTTCTTTCCACTGTTACTGTTTTTACAGATGCTACTGTCATGTCCACACATTTTAATTACATCTTTAAAAGATGTTCAGTGGAACTTCATCCATCCACACTAATCAGCATGTCACAGTATTGCTGGTTGATTGACAGGTTGAACTGTTGTTCTCAGGGTATCCCAGGTATCAGAGGGGAGGCAGGACTGAAAGGAGAGCGAGGTCTGAGAGGAGATCCAGTAAGTACCAATGTTCCGCCTCCTCTGTCTGTGTCCGGGCCTCTGCCTCTGTTTCCATCCTTGTATTTCTTACCAGGGCAAACATCAGTTTCTTATCTGGAGAAGATTCTGTCCTGCTCCACAGCAATTCACTCTAACAGAAAAACATGGCATTCTCAAACATTAAGGGTTTTTTAAATTTCTGCTGCTACAGACAAAAAGTAGTCTAGTAAAGTTCATTTGTTACTTGATCCTTGATAAAGGAATCAAATGTGTGTACATTTTTAGACTTTGGTGACTATTTTGGCCTCTTTTCACTTCTTAGCCTTGTACATTTAAGGTAATCCACTGGACTTGAACTGCTTACATGTGAAAAAAGGGGGTGTTCTAAAATTTGCGGTCAGTAATGTAGTAAAAGTTTGCATGTTTGGATGTAGCTGAGAAAGGAGGAGACTGAATCTGCACTCTTGGCTCGATGTTGACTGTTAAATGCAGAAAACCAGTGGATGACTGTATAACCCATTTCAAAGTCTGACAGATCAGATCAACAAACCCTTAAACTAAAAGCTGCAGAGGAAATGAGCTAACAGTTGAACAATGAGGTGAGGGTGAAAGAGAACCTCACCCCCATCTTTTTTTTGGCAGAGCTCTCCAAATCAGCTTGCACATTTATTTTGATCTCATTCGAAGTCTCTTGAGTCTTTCATCATCTCTGCAGTCATGACACAGCACCGTGTTCGAAAAACATGTCATTATTAAATTGATTCATTATTGACTAGACACCACTCTCTGCCAAGGCTGATCAGTTTCCCCATAATGCCTTTACACCTAAAAGTAATACTCCCATCATAGTTTGACTCATAATATGCTGGCCTGGCCATGAAAACCTACTGCATAATGCTGATGTAGTTATATTAGTTGTATATGCTAGATATTAGTTTGAAAGTTATTCAAGAAAAATGACAAACATGAGCAGTTACCAAGTGTCACAAAGGGCTGAATAAATCTCATGTAGACTGGCATAACTGTGTACTTACATTCCCTCATAGATGCACAAAATTCACACCATTTGGCTGAATGTAAGTCCACTTTAGAGTCCTTTTTCCAATGTGCCTCCTGCTACACCTATGGGGCATTCACAGAGACACAGTGACTGGCTGTTGCTAGGTTCTGATAGCCCTGTTCTGGGTCAGTGTTGAGCTGGACACATGACATACTGTACAGTATACACCGTGCTATGTATGTGCTTTTAAAAAAATCCTGGATCCAGATGATGATCCAGATCAACACCTAAATCTAATCAGTTGTCCTGTGGGCCATATGCTATGTCTCCAAATGTCATCACAATCTGTTCATTACTTTTGATGTATGTTGGGAACCAACACACCGACAAACGTCTGCAAAAACATTACCCCTGCCCTTGGGGGTAAGTTCTGTGCCAGCTTTGTCCTCTTAGAACATGGTACAACCAGTCACAACTGGATCAAAACTGGAAGTTCCCCCTTAGGTACTGTAACTAAACACTGTGTGGATTTGATCTTTCCAGTCCGCCAGAATTAAGTTTGAGTCTTTGTGTTTTGACTGTTAGGGTGAACCGGGCACTGACAACACTGTCGCAGGACCCAAAGGAGACCTCGGCTATGCAGGCTTACAGGTAAGAAACATCACAGCACAGTTACTTACTGATCTTTGTAAAACTTAGAACTTTTAATCAACTTTTGATTTTGCACCACTTTAGCAGTTGTAGTGCATCCTTAGAGGTGTACTACAGCTGTAGCAGAGCAAATTTCTGGTTGAACTCGTCTCCACTGCAGTGGTCACTGAGGCTCCTGAGTAATGTAGTAATTAGACCTTTTAAAAACCCAGGGTTACTTAAGTACTTCCTGAACCACCAACTCCAATAATCCAACAATAATCTACTGAGCAGCTTTGCTGGCACCATTGTGGTATTGATGAGGCGCTGCTTTGTCACCTGGCCAACCCACGTTTGATCCTGCCGTCTAGGGATTCAACCACCAACCTTTTGGTCACAAGCTTCTCTAACCTTTAAGCCCCCCTCCCCTTTTTAAATTTATCATTAGCCTTTGAGCATATTATGTTAAAGCAAGTGTACTGAGTCTTTATCACCATGTATGTATATCCACAGGGCGCAATGGGAGAGGATGGGCAACCAGGTGAGGGGGGTGGCGATGGAAACCCGGTGAGATTTCTGACCTCCATTTTGTCTTACCAGATACACGTGTACTGTAAATATTTTATGTACACAGTGTTGTTTATATACTGTATGTCAACACATGTATGGTACATCTGTATAGGATTTTTTTATGCTTGATAATATACAGGACATAGTATATCTAGCAGTGGTAGAAAGTACAAGTACAAATAAAAGATTTGTTCTTTACATGAGTCTCCATTTAATGGTACTTAAAGCTTCTCCTCTACACTGCAGGGCTGATAATGTTTTATACTTGAATTTGAATGTCGAGATTTTAACTGTATTTGTACACTGTTTTTATTAATGTTGGAGTATATGTTAACATAAGTTTGAATATATATTTTCAATATAAAAGTTATACACAACATTTTTTGTTCTTCTCAACTGATTATAATTGAAAATATTTCATTATTGGACTGTTATTTGCCCCAGACATCCAGTAACCTGACTGTACGGATATTAGCTGCTTTGTTAATACACAGTTATGTGTAAAGGTTGGGTGAGTGTATCTGCTGAAGCCCAGCCTTCATGTTAAATGAGGTTGTGACCCATCACCAGTCCCACAGTGTTATGGGCCTCATGACAGGTGACACTGTTCTCAGGCCCTGACCTAAGTCACCTTTAAACTGACCTAGGGAACGTTAATATGCCAGGAATAAGACTTTTTATATTCAGATGTCTGTAATCCTTTAATATTTTTCTGCTGTGTAGGGTCCAGATGGAAGAAGAGGCCCCAGTGGTGAGAAGGTAGGAGATGAAATCAAACAACCTTTGGTGCTGCTGTTGAAGGTTTATGTATCTATTATTACCCACTGCCATCCTCTGTCTGCAGGGTGCACCTGGGGAGCCAGGAGCTCCAGGACTCCCGGGCAGCCCGGGTGCTGCTGGTCCACAGGTGAGTGGTCAGACGACAGCTGCCATCCGGTGCTGAGAACACGAAGCCAGATTAGAAAGTTAAAGGAACAGTCTGTCTGGTCCAGCACTGTAGAATTTAATGTCAGTGTTTCTGCTGGTAACATTTCTGTGGCACACTGGCACATCAAAATCTTTTTTGTCACTGCGAAAGCTAAATCTAATTAATCAATCATTTAATCAAGCGCCACAATGACTCGCCCAGGAAACCTGTAAAACCACAGGTTGGAAGAGACAAAACACAAGAACATGCTGTCGGTGTAAAGAAGACAAGCAAATACAGTACAGAAATGCTGCCAAGCTAAAACACACTTCAACATAAGTTGTAGCACAAGTTTGCAGGGGGACGCAAACTCAGTGAGCATGCCAGTAATTAGTAGGAGGAGATTGCTGGAGTGTATGTGGCAGTTATCGCCAATAATACCGGGACCACACAGTCAGATTGTTTAAAATACACAGGCTTATTTTTGTGTATCATTGATGGGTGGTAAAATACACAGGCTTATTTTTGTGTATCATTGATGGGTGGTTGTTTTTTAGGACCTTTTCTGAATGTGGCCTACTTTGATCAGATTGGTGAAGGGGTTTTCTTTTTTTCATTTTGTTTATGTTCTGACTAGTGTTTTCTTGAGCTCTTTCAGCTGTAGTAGAGGAACAAATGAAAATTCATGTATATGGTGTGTGCAGAGACGTGCCGCTCTTACCAGAGCACATCTTATGCCCAGTGTGTGTTGTCTCTGTTTTTATTCAACCTGTGCTCCATTCTGCTGTCAAGAATAAACAAGACACAGGTCTGAGATCCTGTGCTTAGACACTGTGGTGCTTTGAGCTGAATGACAGTAACAGTGCTGACATGCTGATGTTTAGCAGAAATGATGTTTACCATGTTCACTGTTTTATTCTAGTGTGTTCACATAATAATGTCTGCTGCTTATGCAGGAATTTGGTCACATAGTTTATCATATAAAGTACAGAACACAATGAAAATTTGACCTAATGGATGGTTAGTGTCAGGTTTGCCCCGCTGCACCTGCCTCTCTCACCTCCCTCACTTTGTTTCCCTTTTTTCGGCCCCTGATCACACCACCTGGCACATCTGCTCCACATCCCCTCATGGTCACCAGCTAAACCTAACAGTTAGCCGGTCATTTATATTTCTTCCTGGGTGAACCATGACTATGCAGCTGTCCATCTGCTAGGCACAGAACAACAAAAGACATCAATCGTTATTGATGCAGAGAGATGTGGAGTCAGTGAGGTCAGAGTTTGCTGGTATTGCTTAGTCACCGTGTTTTTTGGAAGACAGATTTGGATGTGATAACTGGATTGGCTGATGGACAGACTTCCAATGAAACTTAGTAGAAATGTTTTTGCAAAGTGAGACCATGTGTCTCTGTGGGGATTTGGCAAAGGAGCAAAGGAAAGTTCAACTAACTTGGAAATCTTTAATGGGCTGCATCAGTAAAGACATCTGTACAATGGTCTTGCAAGAAGTGGAACATAGTCGTCTGCTATCACTCTTTTGCCACAAGATTTTACTTTAACAGCCAGTATACATTTAAGTACCTCTGTTGACACTTCCAGGGTGCCTTGCCGTGATGTAAGATGTAACATGTCACTGGTCTTGTAGCTGTCACAGTTTATATAGAGAAGCTTAATGTTAATGGGGACATGAATGCCTGAACCAAACATCAAAATAATTCATCCAATATTTAATCAGCATTACAAATGTCGACCCCATGACGGCGGTAGACGAAAAGCCAGTAGGATTCATCTTCTGGGGAACATGAATGTCTATAACAAAATATCATCAGAAGGTCTTCTCTGGACCTGTAAGAGCCAGAGAGGCTAAATGATAAAGCTAAAGCTAAAGCCAGAACTCACCACCTGATTACATAGTTATCGCCTTGTGATTTGATGGAAACCCCGTCGGGTAAGGAATCAAGTGAAACAGTGCACAGTCCTAAACCAGTCCATGTTGTCTCTGCAGGGTAGCAGAGGGGACAACGGTGAACGTGGACCAAAAGGAACCCCTGGCTTTCCTGGACCCCGGGTCAGTACAGCTCCTCAACATCATCCCACTTTAATTTTAGTTATTTAAAGTGTATTTCTACACAGGAGGAGGATTGGATATGGTTTTACAATGAAATCAGTTTAGGAAGGGATCTACAGTGTAATAGGTATGTCAGTACTGTTTTAAGATGGGCTTAAACAGTTCACTCAGGATTAGTTTTACCATTATATTTAGCTTATGCAAGAGAGGCTGAATTCACTCCAAACCTTCCTGCTACAGAGAATCAAATTACTATAGGACAGGGTGCAAAATGTTACTGCCCACACGTGTACATTTGTCTCCTGTGATGATGAGCCAAGTGATTGGAGCTGGTAGAGTAAGAAGGCAGCCACTCAGGACATTGACACACAGACCGAAGACCTGCAGCAACACACTTGTGCTGCTACTGTTTCGACTGGTTGCTGAGCAGACTGAACCCAACAGAAAATGGTTATAGCTGCGTTCTTTACTGACATAGTAACTGTAGTACGTATGTTACTGACTGTGAGTGAGTCTTGGTGACTCAGGAGGCCTCTGGACTGCCTCCAACTTCTCTCAGAATAAGAAGCTAGACTTAGAACATACAGGCGTTGAGAATTACTCTCAGACCAAAAATCTAGTGTTTCTAAAGCTGATACTGACACATCTTTTATCTGTAGGAGCTGTTCTTCACTCTGCTGCTACTTTAAGCCTTAGTATGTTTTGTGAATTCGTTCCCAGGAAGCTGCCAGATCTGATTAGACCAGCAATTGAGACCTGGACCAGCTCAAGGCCCAGGTCAGGTCTCAGGTCAGGGAGAAATTGAGCAGACCTGTGAATATCTCCAGTTTGTAGTTGTTGAGAAAATGGTGGATGGTTAAACTGAAGAAACATGGTCAGGCTCTGGAGACACTGTCAAGAAACAGAATTACTACAAGCTTCATTTAACATGAACAAAATACAGCCAGTCACACAGGGCGTGGGCTCTAAGAGGATGTCTTTTCATGAACAGAAATGTGGTGGTAATGATGATTAAATTCAGGCCAGCAGTCATCAGACTCTTTTCATGTCTTTGTTCTTTGTTTTTTTTAATTTATTTCCACTTTATAACAGCTAGAAGACTTATAACCAAGGTTTTGTTTTAAGTTTTTAGTAGCATGCGCTCATGTTGGGTCTGTTTGTATTTACAACAGTGCAGTTTAGTTCAGGTCCAGTAACCTAATGAGCAGAGTCAGATAATTACTAGTAGTGGTAGAAGTAATTTGACATATTTATGAAAGTACACTGAGATTTGGTTTATTTTAGTAATTTTGTTTACTCATGTTCTGCTTCTTTAAATGCTGACTTGAGTTGTAGGCTTCAGTTTTGCCATAAACAAACACCAACCAGGTTTAGTGTTTGTATAATGTGATCAAATAACTCTGGGTTCTCCTGCAGGGTGAACCCGGAGCAGTCGGAGACCCAGGAAAAGCCGGGAACCGTGGCGCTAATGGACAGAAGGTGTGCAGCATCACTTCCCGTGTCTCATCAGTGATTCAGCAATCGGCATCAGCTACTGTAGTCAGGGAAAATGAAGTGACTGTGTTTTTAAAGATTTGTTCTGCTCATTTTTAACCAAATATGGCAAAGCTGACTTCTGCATGTATTTGGTCATATGCCAAAATACTGGGCAAGTTAATATCTTGGCCAAAGTGATAAGGATTCATTCTGAGGGCAAGATCAATAACTGGACCAAGCAGTCCTTTCAAAAATTGATAATTCACTCAAAAACAAATAAGTGAACCTTGTGGTGGCATAAGATCTGGGGGATCTACACACTCAGTGAGTGCTTGTACAAACTTGTCTGACCATCTATCCAGTTGTCATTTTAGTAGTGGATCAACTGGCCGACAGGTGGTGTCGTTCCTGGAGCCACACTGGAAGTGTGGCTGATAGAAATCAAACAGATTCAAATAAAGGGCATTCCAGAAAATTTGGAGCTTCATATTTATAGAACAAAATCCTGATGAGATAAAGAAGTAAAATGCTGATGTCTTATGGGAATTGTTCTGCTGGAACAGTTAGGATTAATTTAAGTCAAAAGAAGATTTAAACAGTTGGTTGTTGTTGTTGAAGGGCCAACCAGGAGATCCAGGTGCAAAGGGTGCTTCAGGATCACAGGGACCCAGAGGATTGCCGGTAAGGAGCTGAATTTCTGCTACATTTGTAAATGGCATAAAGTATAAACTGTATCGTCCAATCAGTGCCTCAGTGGCTGAAGGTGCTCTGTTGCAGGGTCAAGATGGTAAAGACGGTTATGGACCTTCTGGACCTCCAGGTGTCAAGGTAGAGCCAACTTGTAACTGAATTTACAGAAAATTAGCAAAGACAAATCAAATGAATGTTTGTCTCCACCCTGCTGTGTGAACCTGGCTGACTGGGTGATGGCGGAAAACAGCAGGTGGAGCCGATTCTCCAGTTGCTGCCATTAAACCACTGTAGAAGACAATAGAAGACAACGAGGCAATTCAAAGAGCTTCAGTCGACGACGCTCAGATGATGGGAAACAGGATGGAAATGTGACATTTCTCTTAGTTTCCTGTGCTAATGTGAGGAAGGTCACAGCCTCCTCATCGCTCCCCTCTCAGCCGAGGCTTTTCTTTCTTCACTGGAAGTTTAAGTCATGTGCTTCATGTACATCATGATTGTTTTTGTTAGTTTTTGAATGTAGCATTTATATGGCTAAAGAAACTTTTCCTCCTTGGCTGAGTATAAAAACAATTTGCAGCATGTTGAGTTTTTAAAATTTATTGTTTATGCCAACTGCGATGGATTGGCAACCTGTCCAGGGTGTACCCCGCCTTCGCCCGATTGCCGGCCGGGATTGGCTCCGGCCCCTCCCGTGACCCCGTTCAGGGATTAAGTGGTAGAAAATGAATGAATGAATGAATGTTTATGCCAATTGAACATGTATACGAAATCATCTTGATACTGTGGCTGTCTGACCTGGAGACAGATTAGTACTTTATTCCTTCTCTGTACAGGGGGATCCTGGTTTTCCTGGTAACCCCGGTGTACTGGTGAGTCTTTGCATTTTGTAACAGTTGAATCTTAATGACACCCAGCCTTACATCCAGACCATGTAAAAACAAGGAACATGAGAGAGTCCAGATGGTTCAGGCATGAGTGGTATGTTGTGGTTTCCCTGTGTTAAGGGTGAGGATGGTCAGCGGGGAACCAAAGGGTATCCAGGACGCAAAGGGAACCACGGTCGAGGCGTGAGTGACATGCATGCAGTAAAACATACATGTTCTTTTTCTGTCTTTTTGCTTCATAAGTGACTTTTGTTCTTGGTCTGACTTTTACAGGGGAACTCAGGCAGGCCGGGAGAATTGGGTGTGTCTGGAGACCCGGGACATCCAGGACACAGGGTGAGTGTGATCATCTTCTTTTAAAAAGACGACAACCCTTGCTACTCTCAGAGCAGCAGGAGATGTCAGTCACTAATAATATGTCAGCGTATAATCAGATCATCCAACAACAGAAATCCCAATGGGTACCTGAATATCAAGCCACTGATATGAGCGTCAGACAGTGCAGTGGAGAGTTACAGTGTTTGTCTCCTCTTCCTCCGTGCAGGGTCCCAGAGGTCCCCCTGGAGGCAGTGACATGTCTGTAAGTCCGTCTCCACTACACCTTCAACATCAAAAGAGATATTACATTTATTTCTACAAAGCATCTTTCCTGTTTTTCAGGAGTGCCAGCTGGTCACCTACATCAGAGACAACTGTGGTAAGTGATGTTTGTGAACCAGTGCTTCTGTCGATAAGATGCAAAACAAGCGTTTGCTGAGTCTGATTTTCACCAGGGGACACGTGTTTTTGTGTCCCCTGGTGTTTTTGTGCCATTCAGTAACTCTGACAACCTTGCTTGAACTCTAAACATTATTTTTCTCCTCTGCACAGCTTGTTGCGCTGGTATGTATGTCTCCATTTTGCTTCTCAGGAGAATATGGTGAGTGAGAATTTACTGTTGAGACGCTAAAGTGGGATCATTCAGTGAATGTTGTAGTAGCACCTTTGAACCTTCTTGGTTTGACTTGTTTGGTGTCAGTTTAATGGTTCAGGACAGAGGTCGACAGTTACATCCTCTCTCTTACTGTTTTAAATAGAGAAGTCACTGTTGGTGTCTGTTCTTTACAGTATGTACAGCATGTGGTGCAAAGGTCAGTGCTACAAGCATGAATGTGGGTGGAGGTTCTGCCTAAAAGCTTAATGGTGGTTATCTCTTGAAAACAAGAAAACACATTTCTGTAAACTGTGTAAGAAGAAATCATGCAGAAGGCTATAAGAATGTGGTTGAATGATGTCTTTGACTTAAATTTGTAAATATAGTATCTTCAACTGTCATATCGAGTGTTCTACAGTTGGTTCAGATAAAATCCAGATGTAATTTATTACACTCTTCTTTACAATTAGCCCCAGACATGTTTTTAATGAGCCACATGCAAATCAGTGTTGGTTCTAGTCCGTGCCAGAGGCTGACACTAATACCTGAAGCACTAGAAGAAGAATAACATGTGCACTTCACCACTTTGAACCGTCATACAACTAACATAAACACATTGCTCCCTCCTCTGCTCAGACCACAGACCTCAGAGGTTATTCAGGGCTCAGAAACACAACAGCAGCATTGGGTCTTCTGTATGATCATGTTTCATTTGGTGGAGTTGCTTTCTTCCTGTTGCTTTCATGAGATGAGCTAATCCACCTTAAGTGTTTCGAGCAGGTGTCTGGGATCCATTTATATTTACATAGATGGTCACTGTATGTGATCCTCTCAAGATGTGTGATGAGGCTGTGTGTAAACAGAATTTGTAAACTGTGCTCATTTAATGAGACTTTTGAAGAAGAATTTAGTGCACAATGTTTGCCTGAGACATTAGTTTATAAGATCTGAGCCCCTGGAGGTGCCATTAAAGGCTGAAAACCATTATAAAGCCTCGTCCGGTTCTTTCAAACCAGGAACTCCGAGGGACGACTCAGACCACTTGAGTATATAAAAAATATAACCGTGCTGGTTTATTCAAAAAGTCACAGGCAAGAATTAACACTTCAAGTCCAGAGATCTTCCAACCCCCAGGCTGCCCGAGCAGCCCGGAAACAGAAAAGACCCCGAACCAAGCATTGCTATACAATATTAATCATTTCTGGGCTGTCGAACCGTGACGTCACCCGATAAGCAAGCCTTGCAGCTGCTATAACGTTTAGCCAAAACATGAGGAAAAGTCAAGGTGCGTGACTGTTGTTTTCGTGGTGTGTATCTAAAACAATTGGACATAACCTTACACATTAAGACAAATATTAAGACTAGCATTACAGTTGACACTAACAGCAGTTTTCCTGTAACCTTGACGTGCCTGCAGTCTGCACTGCAGGCTGAATAGTTAACAGCCTAAGCTAGTCACCCTGTCTGCACTAAACATTCCTAGACAACAAATCTCTGAATATCTATCTAACTAAAAAATAACCTAACACCATGAAGGTGGGTAGTGTTTGAAGAAAGGCTGGAAGTAGGGTTCTGGGCACAATGTCACAGATGATGGTGATTTGGCTTACCTGTTAAATGTGCCAAAGGTTTGGTCATTTCACATGAGTACTGTCTTTCTCAGAGGCACAGGTACATGGTGTGTTCAGACTGAACGTACACAAAATAATGTCTCTGGTGCCTCAGTCTGCTTCCAATTCAGGTGCTCAGTCTCATCTTACTCCTCTCTACATTGACTCCTCCTAGGTCAATCACTGTGCCCGGCCTACCCCACACAGCTGGTGTTCGGCCTGGACATGTCTGAGGACGTGACCCCGGCCTCCTTCGAGAGGCAGCGCTCTGCCCTCCTCTCCCTGCTGGAGGACATCACCATCAGTGAGAGCAACTGTCCGACGGGTGCTCGCGTCGCTGTGGTGGGATACAGTGCCTACACCAAGTACCTGATCCGCTTCCAGGACTACCATCGCAAGAAACAGCTGATTGAGGTAGTGAAGAACATTGCCTTGGAGAGGACGGCCAACCGGCGCCAGTTGGGGGCCGCCATGCGCTTTGTGGGTCAGAATGTCTTCAAACGCGTACGAGCAGGAGTCATGATGAGGAAGGTAGCAGTCTTCCTCTCTAATGGGCCTTCAGAGGATGTAGAAGACATTGTTACCGCTGTTATGGAGTACCGGGGCCAGGACATCGTCCCAGCAGTTATTTCTTTGCGGAACGCTCCAGCTGTTAGACGGGCCATGGAGGTAGGTTTCCATCAGCAGAGGAAGTCATAGCCAAACCAGATGTTGTTCCTCAGCTCTTCAGTGTGAGCACAGAGCGATCATTCCCTTCCAGTTGATCTATGATCCTGTAGTTGGTGTGTAACCAGCTGCTGAAACAGTGCCGGCCAGTGATCAGTGAGTCAGGGCAGTTTCTGAGTTGAACAGGTCATGACTTGCTTGATGTACAGAGGTGATGAGTAAGGTATCACAGACCAGCTTCACTGTCCCACCTGACAGCACCACCAGCATCATTAGTCGTAAGCTTCACTATGTTTACACTGCTGTTGTCGATCAGTGTCAGAGAACAAGGATGTTGTCAGACTGGGTGAGAGGGCAAAAGAATTCAGGCACATGGTGCTCGTCTTCCTCTACGACACATTTGTCTTAGCACTTACAGGTCGGATCATCATTAGGCTGATTTAACATCTGATCCTGGCATTAACTGTCTCATTTCAGGTTTGGTATTTATTCTACATCTGGGTTTTATTACAGCTGATGTCACTATTCTGACACATAAAATTTATTGCAGAGTTTTTTTGGCACCTTGTTTGGTCTTTAAACACATATTAAATCCAGCTCCCTTTGCACTCAGCCTCTTTTCATTTATGACTACATTTAGCCTCAACAATTTGTCTTCAGTACTGAACTGCAGCCAGGCTGATACTGTAACTGTCACTGAACTGATGATCTTGGAGAGAAGTAAGAATTTGCTGTAGTCTTTAACCTGGAGATCAATGAGAGAGGATCCCAGGGGCTGCAGGTCACCTTACAGTACCACTTAACGCTGTTCTCAGCTACTGAAGAAATGTTCTTTTTCCAAAAATTGATTGAACATTAAAAACTGATGTTTGTTCTCAGGTTGATGACACAGGAAACTACGTCTTCACAGTGCTGGGACGGGTGCAGGACATGGCTGCAGACCTGAGGAAGGTTCATAACTGTGCAATCTGTTACGGTAATCCCTAAGCCTCATGCTTGGACCATTGCCTGTATATAAATGTAGTCAATGTCTTGGACTAATATTTAATATAAATCATTAGTGGATATATCAGATGCACATTTGGCTTTTCAAGGTTCTGCTAACAGTGTGATAAAATGTGTTGCACAAGATGAAATAAAAAAAAAAGGCTGAATACGGGCCATTGGTAGCCATAAGCTTTTTGTGCTGTTGCTAGCTGTGGCCGGAGGCAGCATGAGTTCAGGTTTTCCGTCCATCTGTTTGGGTTATTGCCACAAACGCGATACCTCAGAAACGCCTTGAGGGAATTTCGTCAAATTTGGCACAAAAATCCACTTGGATTCAGGTATTAACTGATTAGAGTTTGGTGGCCAGAGGTCAAAGGTCACAGTGACCTCATATCTGCCTCATTCTGGCTGGTGGAGCCATACAACTGCAAAAATGTCATTCTATTTGGTTTAAAATAAAAAAAATCAGAACAGTTAAAACATAGCTGCCTGGCACTGTGACATCTTCTCCTGATTACCACACCGTTGCGTTGACAGTTTAAGAATGCCCTGTTTTTACACATCTTTTCATAATTTGTATATGCACAGACATGAATGGTAAAGTTTACAGCAGCACTAAGATGCTGAGCTATACAAACAGCCTCACTGTGTTCCAGCAGTTATTTATTTGGTCCATCTTATGGCTCAGTCTCAATCATAAACATTCAACTCAAAAACAGATAAGTGTTATACTGAGGCGCAGCATGAAAGACACCTCAAGTTCCAAGGATTCACAGATGGCAGGGTCATATATACATGAATATATTTACAACAGGTGGTGGCTTAAATGTACATTAACTGGTTTGGATTTCAGGATGGGGAAAAGCCAAAGTAACAATATCTATCAAAAAAAAAAAAGACAAACTTTGTAAACTAACAAAAACAGGAGAAAACTGTTAGAATAAAAATAGGCATCCCATCCCTACAAGCACCAAAGAGTTAAACACAACTGTAGCTTAACATCAGCTCAACATGGCCAGTTGGAAAATGAAGAATTTGAGTTCTGCCTCCTCTCCCAGTCTTCCTCCTTTAGACATCTCACCGCCAGCTCTGGATGGCCAGTTGGTGTTGAACACTTGTACCAACTAGGCAGATCACACCCACATTTTAATGACATTCATAACAGCTGTTGAGTCAGTCCATTTCTAACCAAGCCAGCTGGCCTCTCAATGTTTACTCTGTTTCTCTAGACCCATGCAAACGCTCGGAGGAGTGTGCCGTCATCCAGAAACCAGAACCACCTCAGCAGGTTGATGTGGACCTGGTCATGGTGGCGGACAGCTCCAGAGAGATGCAGGCTGATGAGTTTACTGGTGTCCAGCAGCTGCTGGGCTCTGTGGTGGATCAGCTGGCTGTGAGCCAGAGTCCGCACCAGGCTGGCAAACAGGCCCGTGTGGCTGTAGTCCAGCAGAGCGGCACCCAGATTCCCAAGGTAGAGTTTGGCCTACAGACCTACCAGGACCGCGACCTGATGAGGAGCCAGATCCAGAAGATGCAGCAGCAGGGTGGGTCCTCTGCGCTGGGGCAGACGCTGGAGTTCACCCTGCAGGAGGTGCTCCTGAATGTCAGCCAGCCCCGGAGGAGGAAGGCGCTGCTGGTCGTGGTGGGCACCGAAACGGCTAGTGTGGACCGGGCCAAGCTGCAATACATCTCCCAGAAGGCCAAGTGTGAGGGGGTGGCGCTGTTTGTGGTGGTGGTTGGAGATCGCTACAGCCGCACGCAGGGGGAGGAGCTGGCCTCAACAGTAAGAGAAGGCTCTGGATTTAATTATTTACATGTTGCCCTCAGCTTTGCCAAACATTTTTTTAGCATCTCCAGACATCACCCAGTTCAAAGTTATCGAAAATAACAAATGCACTTGTTCTTGTTTTTAACAGCAAACATGAATGTATTTGTCATGTGCTTGTTTCAGAGGGAATCAACACATATCCTCCTCCATCTTATAAACAGACCTGCGAGCAGCTGGCCGGTCAACAGGAAGGACAAACCTTCATCAGCTAGTAAGTCCCACTCCAACTTAAACATTATCAAAGCATTAACAAAGTACTGTGTTAACAAGTATTAACTAAGTCAGCAGTAACATAGCATTTGACACGTCTAAGTCCAGCAGAGCTGAGCTAAAATAGCAGGTCTGTAGAGGTAACTGCATAAGCCAGTTGGATTCAAAGTCCATCCATCCATTCATTTTCCTCCGCTTATCCGGAACCGGGTCGCGGGGGTAGCAGTCTAAGCAAAGACGCCCAGACTTCCCTCTCTCCAGACACTTCCTCCAGCTCCTCCGGGGGAATGCTGAGGCGTTCCCAGGCCAGCTGAGAGACATAGTCCCTCCAGCGTGTCCTGGGTCTTCCCCGGGGCCTCTTCCCGGTGGGACATGCCCGGAACACCTCCCTAGGAAGGCGCCCAGGGGGCATCTGAAACAGATGCCCGAGCCACCTCAGCTGGCTCCTCTCGATGTGGAGGAGCAGCGATTCTACTCTGAGCTCCTCCCGGGTGACCAAGCTCCTCACCCTATCCCTAAGGGTGCGCCCGGCCACCCTGCGGAGGAAGCTCATTTCGGCCGCCTGTATCCGGGATCTTGCCCTTTCGGTCGTGACACAAAGCTCATGACCATAAGTGAGAGTCGGAACGTAGATCGACCAGTAAATCGAGAGCTTCGCCTTACAGCTCAGCTCCTTCTTCACCACGACGGACCGGTACATCGACCGCATTACTGCAGAAGCTGCACCGATCCGTCTGTCAGTCTCCCGTTCCATCCTTCCCTCACTCGTGAACAAAGACGATTCACTGTTTCAGCTGCTATTGTTATGGTGTAGTCCCCCTCACCAGGAGGGTGAGGGGAGAACTGCGGTAGGACTCAAGTGTGCTGACCCAGGTGCTAGTAAAAAAAAAAAAAAGGAGGTTTAATGGAACAAAACACAAAGTAACAACAGAACAAGGGCCATGTACATATATAAACAAAGTAGGGCAGAGATGGAGGAGGGGACCAGGATGAACAGGTAAACAGATAAACTGACGGCAGGAATCAGGAGAGCAGGAGGATGAGGACAGACAGGTGAATAGACAGGCTAACCAAGAGGACAGGCGAACAAAAAAGATATCCACAGCACAGGAACTGTCAGCTTGGATTAAAAAAAAAAGGTAACATCTGGCTAACCACATGGACAAAAAACAAACAAAGCGGTCCACAGCACAGGAACTGAACAGCGTGGAAAACAAAATACGTTTTATACATACCACGAATAAAGGGCTGTTACGGGGTATGCATGTTACAGTAGTTAATGCTCCGGTGACAGCGGAGCGTCCGCCAGAGGTTTAAATAAGGTAGGAGGGTGATTACAGTGATGCGCCCAGCTGTGCGCAACAACCCACAATTCACTGATTACAAAATGCGACACAGCTGAGGCGCTAATCCTGCAAAAACAGCGAGCAGGAGAGAGAAAGGCAGAAGAGAGGCAGGTCGCGCCGAGCGGACCTGACAGCTATAACTTTAACCCAAATGCTGGATTATAAATGAGGTATTGGTGTAATTCTGCTTTGTGATTATCAACTGATTGTGATAAGTTCAGTTCAGGGAGAGCAAAGCTGCTTTTTAATGGGACCGTTAATGCGCTGATGAAGATGCCTGTTTAAATTTTTGCTGCAGATAAGATCCACAATGTGAATTATTAATTTGTGGGTCAAACAACAAGAGCATCAGGTCTAACCTGACTCTTGATGTCTAGGTTACATAAAACCAATGCTTGACCCTGTAACTAACATGGAGCTTTAACCAAGATTTCAGAATCCTATCCAATAAAAAAGTCTGTGGAGATTTCTGATAACCTTTTCATATTTTCTTATTAATTTAACTGTTAGATGTGCATTATTTCTCTGCATTTTTGCCTAAACCGTACATTTGAAAGAATCAGAAGATCTACCATGTGTAATTTATGTGTAAATGAAAAACTGATTTTCAGAAACAACAGCAGACCTGTTGTCAGTGCTGCTCAAACAGTTATGTAGAACAAACACTCAGGAATCTATATTCCTGTTCATTTGTTTCTTCAGGATAAAATAGTTGGGTGTGTGGAAATCGCTCTGAAGAATTACAGATCTGTTTAAGTGTAAAGTTGCCTGTTATTACTGTGTCCAGTTCTGGGCTGAAGTCGGCGGATCTGGAGTTTGCAGATGAAGGGGAGGAGAGGTTTCAGGCGCAGATGGAAGACAAGGGTCAGGCCACACAGCTGGATGTCATCGACACTGCGAAAACTGGGCAGAGTTCAGTCTCCGGAGCCAACCTCAGCGGTAGCCCACACACACACACACACGCTGCTTTATACACAGAAACACCTGGTTGGTACGCTGTTCACCAGAGCTGCACTGAAAATACTCCTAAATTATTCTTATGTTGTGTTTTTGCTGAATGAGTGAAGTTTGTTAAGATGTCCTGATTAGAGAAACTGCACTGTATAGTACTCGTTACACTCCAGTTTAGGATGTGAATGTTTAGATGGCAGCGACTTCTAGTGGTTCTATTGCCCTGGTTTTGAGTTTGTCTCAAACAAAGGGTAAGACTGGTGATAGTCACGCCAGCACTGAAAGTACTGCTGCCACAAATGCTCACTAGAGACCAAAATGTGGATTAATCCGCAGTGGAAAATAGTCCCCAACAAATGCACTGTTTCTTTCTGTTTGTTTGAACAAGGCTAATGTGGCCATCTGTGTTAGGACATTACTGGGCCTTTTTTAAACAATGACACTACAAATGTGTTTGTGAATTTGTTTTGTTGGGGTCTACACATGAGATTTGACAAGATATATGTAGAATAAAAGCAGAATTAATCTTGTTTTAACCGAGGTAGTGTCTAATTAACTAGTCTGTTGAGCTATTGAACTTGTCCTGTACTCTGCCGCCTAGAAGTAATTTAAATCCCACATCCTAAGCACAGTGACAGTGGGGTTGGAGAGTTCACTCATGTTCACATTACTGGGACATGATCAAGTAATCATGTTAGTTCAGTTCCTGTGTTTACTTAATTCATGAGTGTGAACTGTAAAGAGTTTTTATGAAACCTACTCCAAACCCCAGGAAGCATAAACGGCAGCTCAGCCAGAAACCACACACTAAGTCAGGCTGCAGTGTGAAGATGTGGCGTGTTGATGAAACACCTCCAGCTTCTGGCTGACTCTGTTTTCTGTGACAGGTTCCATCATCCTGCCAAAGGTGCAGCTGGCCGCTTCTGTCCCCAAAGGTAAAAACGACTAATACAGCACTGGACCAGAAATGTAGCTATTGAGGAAATGTCCAATAAGTATTGACTGTGTGTAGGAGCACATTTAACTAGGCTGGGTTGTCAGCTTCAGCTGTTGCAGGGCCATTGCAGTCATTTATGTTAAAGCTGCCCGGGGCTGCTTTTCCTTCCTCATAAGATGATTTTTTTTTTCCAAAAGTGTTTTAAAACCTTGCATTGTTTACATCCATGTTGACGAGTGACAGCGCTTCATGTTTGCTGTTTTTGCTGGCACACTGTAGCTCGTGGTAACCACCTGTTGATCAGTGGAATGATGTGAAACCACTGGCTGGATGTACGCATCACCTATGCACAAGAGCAACTAAACAGGGACCCAATTATATAAAATTGTGTAGTGCTATTAGAACTAAAGCTCCACAGGGAACCAGATGTCATCCTTCAGACTATTGATATAAACGTTATTGTTTGTAGAAAAGTGGCCCTGGTGAAAATGCTGGTGAATTTGTTTTCAGCCAATTTCTTCTTTGTCCCTGGATCGGA